CCCTTCTCTCTTTGCCCCACCCCAACTTCAGCTGCCTGTTGGGGTCTTTACACCTCAGAGAAACTGTGTTTTACTGCTTTTACTTTCCCAAGGTATTTCCAATGCAAATAGCATCTCTTTGGGAAAACCTTGTTTGAGTTACAGGCTTGGTCTCTCTTCAGGGGGTTCCTAAACCTAAGGGCAACTGCTAAAATGCAGCTCTCCTGCCAGATTTCTTCAGAAAGGGAGAGAGGGAGAAGAAGAAATCAGGGTTTTATTGTTTGCTTTAGATCTTTTATTGCATCCAGCGATGTCTTCGCTCAATAGCTTCTACAGCTATTGGGTGTGGGGAGGGGTCTGTTTCTGATTGAACAGCTGCATTTGACTTATGCTTTGTCCTTGTTCTTCTCCGATTTTCTGTGCAATCTGGAAGATTTTTTTTTTTTCTCACTGAGATCCTCTTATTTTTTTGTTCTCAGTAATTCTCGCCTCCCAGTCCTGTCTGCCTGCCTGTGACATGCCCATTTAGTTAACTGAATTACTTATCCCATCCTGCTCACCTACCCCCACCCTTCGCTGTATGAGCAGAGAAAAGAAACCTCCTGTTTGCTCTGGAGAGGGAAGCTTTTGGTCACCATTCCCCAGATTCATATGAATGTTTCTGTCCTGTTTCCAGTTCCAAAGCAAAGTGTATGACAAAAAAGCAGGATTCAGACCTGGATGTGAGTATAGTGGTTTAAGAGAAAGATCTGGTGGGTGAGTCCGAGTTGAGAGCACCCCAGGGACACAAAGAGTGAATAGGTCTGAGGTTTAGAATCAAGTCTTTTAGCCACTTAAGGCAGCTGCTGGAATGTGCTGGGGAGGCTGAGCTGGGACATCATTAACTGCATTTGCCTTGGTGCTCCTGGATGGGGTTCAGTCAAGGTCATCTCTAGGAAGTCCATGTGTTGTTCCCCAGCCTGCACCTCCTCTCCTTCACTGCAGCTTCTCTTTGCAGGGATATTCATTTACTTGTCAGAGAAAGGAGCCTCTCTGCACTTGGACGCAGAGAGGATAATCACTTCAAATACTCTGCTCTGCATCTAGGCAGTCTGTAGTCTCCCTTCATCCAAAAAACCAAACCAAAAAATGTCTTACAAGAAATCACAAATTACCACATCAGCAGAATCATGTGTTTCTGTGGACCATGTGCACAACAGGACTCAGCTACAAGG